AAGGCCAACCAGACGTTGAGTGTCGCCATGTGAAGCACACTCCTCCAGTTATAATGCTGTTCCTTAAAGTCAGCCACATATGAGGGATGTGACACAGATGTACTACACGTGCTGACAGCGTGAGTCGATGTTGACCCGGGCTCCATCGCCCGATGTTCTCATGTGTCACTTGTAAGTGTAGCGACTTGCATGGCGTTGGTCGCTGTGTTGTGGTGAAGCTGTGTGCTCGTATGAACAGTTCAGCGGGGCGATGTGGCTCCGTGAAAAGCAGAGACGAGCATGAAACACTGGAACTAATCAGAACACAGGACCAGGGACAAGCATCCTGATTTCAGATTAGACGCCCTTCCTCCCTCCCTCCTCCCCTCGTTTCTCCCCCTCCCTCCCTCCCTCCCTCCCCTCTCTCTCTCATATCTTTTATCTTTGTCGTTCTTTATCTACCTTTTGGAGATGATCTTTAGCATCTGCATCCTACTCTATTTTATTTTCTCCTTCAGTTTTCTTTAATCCAAATCATTTTTTCTCAACTTTCATGTTTCTACATTTTCCTCTCATCTTTTGGTTCATTTTAGTTCACAATGAAAGAGACTTAAAACTGAAAAGGCATGAACAACAAAATGAATGAATAATGTGTTTGAACTTTGACTGTCAAAAATGATTAAATGTTTTAATCTTGATTAATCACATGTCTGAAATTCCATTATTTTTTGCATTTTTAAATTTAAAATAGTCAGGCTTTTATTTTGAATTGTTGTACTGTCTTAAGCTGAGAGTACTTCACTTGCTTTATGAATTTAACCTTTTGCTTTTATTTTGAAATAAAGTAAGGACCTTCTGTTAGAGGGAAAAAGGAAGAGTAACGTTAAGTTTATTTTGACACCTATAACCCTCACTGTCTGAATCAGCCTCCATATCTCACCAGCTCCACCCTTGCCCTCTCTCTCCCTCTTTGCCACAGTGGACCAATTAGGACTAAGCTGATTCCAGTTGTGACCTTTGGGTGCACCTCGGGTCTGCTGACAGGAGAGTTAGCATGTAGCCGAACTGTTTTACATGTTATCGACAGGGTGGGAGGCATCATAGTCATTTTATCACACCAATTTCATTCTTGGCCGATTTCCCCTCAGGCAGGTTAGTGGCAGCTTCCCATTGATTTTTCATGTAATTGATCAGAGACCTGCTTGAGCAATTTATTGGCCAGCTCGCACCTGTGATTAAGGCTGAGGGGGGCCGCATGTGTTTATGCATGCACCAACTATTACTTTCCCCAAGATCAACCGGCATGCCATAAAAAATAAAAAAAACCCAACGCTGTGCTGTCTCGTGTGTGTGTGGCTGTCCAAGTCTCTGGGACATTTTTAATCTCGCTGCACCAAAGCCATGTCATGTCCAAAGTCAAGAGGAATGGAGACAGGCTCGTCTGACTGACCAGCAATGACAGGAGTTAATGTGTTCACATAAAAACACGGACCAGAGTTTAATTCAAAGTAATCCTCGTTCATTTGAAGCCGCTTCATGCATGGGATTAATATTAGAGCAGTCGGGGGGCCAAAACCACGATGACATCAGCTAAGCGTTTTCTTTGGAAGCCGAGGATAGGATAATTACAGAAGAAAGACAAAGACGAAGAGCTGAGTACTTTTTAAATATACACCACGGTAGCCGGGCATGTCGGGAGAAGTGAGGGTATAGCCTATCGTGGAAGCTGTGCGTGTAAGCGTTCTGAAAAACCACAAGCCATGCATGTTGCTGGGCTGGAGTGCTTAGTGCTGGTGCAGCTCGTCTCCCTCTGGTACTGTGACAGAGCTGGAATAGCAAGGATCAGGAATAAAGCCGCTCAACAAGCTCAAGAGCTATCAAAGAGCCACCCTTTTAATTTGCTTAATTTACAGGCAGCTTTTTCGCTAATAACGTTCCTGGAGTGATACTTGACAAATGGAACACACACACACACGCAGGATATTTCTGCCTCAAAGGAGGCTCGATTTGTCTTTCTTATATTTCTCCTCCTTTTTCTAGAAGAGAAAGAAAGTCACACCCTCTGCAATAAAAAACTAAATTCCCACTCATTACTGTATTTCTAACATATTAGCAGTACATAAACTGATTTGTTTAAAAGATTTGTGGCTTTTGGAAAACACAATTTCACTCCACATTTTATTACACGGCCACAAAGTGTTGGCCAGACAGAACGCTAGGCGACAATCGCCTGCGGTTTGAGGCTGAAACTGAAAAAAAAAAAAAAAAGAAGGAGAAGGAGAAGGAGGAGAAAATCCGGCTGGTTTTGTGCAGGCAAATTGCAAACCCTGAATAATGGCACCACTTCACATGCACACACACACGCATTACTCAAGCATCAGGAGGCAACAGCATGATTACAGTGTATAACGGCAGGCCTTGTATATCTCACTGAAAGCTGTGGGAGACATGTTTGGAGTCATTTTATAGACGATGGTCTTGCAGGAATAAATACAGAAGGGCACGCACGGTGTGAGGAGAGACATCAGACACATGGCTCCTTTAAGATTTGTCCTTGTGTGAGATGGAATTGTAATATAATTGATGTCTTTTGCAAAGGCTGCACAGACAGGACTAAATAAATCATAATAAATCACCTCTCTATTTGCTTTTAATAAACTGAGGATTGATTGCAAAAATATGTTCAATGCACTGGTGTCTGAGTGCAATTTGGCAGGAAATGGAGCACAGATACAAACTTTGTAAAACGGCCTGTTGTGACACAAGAATTAAATTAGGCCTTAAAGATCTAAATATTAAGGCTGTGTTTTATGCATCACAAAATGTGCACTGTGTCTGTTCTTAGATAATCTACAGTCTGCACGTTTATGAATCACATGAGGGGGGAAATGCAGATAGCTTTGTATTAAAGTTTTATTTTGAAGTTCCCACATTTCTTAAAAGGGAGCCAGACTTAAATGGAACTCCAAGTTTTTTAGATTCTGTGCATCTGTTGAGGCTGCCTTTGCCGGGCAGTCCATCACCTCTCCTCTTGAAAGTGGAGTCTTGGATGCGTGCTGATACACACGGAAAAAAAGGGGGGAAAGAGTGATTTAAAGTCCTCTCCAGTATGCAGGAGGAGGAAAAAGTTGAAAATGTCCAAACTGTACTGACGCTGTGGGGGCTTGATGTTGCTCGTTAAGAATCAGGAGAGAGCACCAGCAGAGACAGGTCACCCCTGTTTCTCACATCACAGCCCCATCAGAAATTCTTTCAAGTGTCCTTCTGCGTCGCCAAAGATGACAACGGCGAATCGATAAAGCGCTTGAAATGAAAAGAAGCCGCCGGTTTGCCCCCGAGGCGAAAGATTTCATACCCGCCAGCCTTCTCTGAACTTCAGGCATTCCTCTGCACCTTTCTGCGTGAGAAAGAGGAGGCTCTTGACTGATTCTTTTTTTTTCTCCTTCTCTCGCTTTGTATAAGAAGGTAAGAGGAGAATATAGCAGAACCATCACGCAGCTCACCCTTTCCTCCGTGTGCAGGCGGGGCGTGATTTAGAGAAGTTGCATGGTGCAGGGTTGATATTTCTTTCTGCTCGTTTACTTGCATTTTGTCTGCGATTGTGTGTGCACATGCTGCCTTGCGTGTTTTGCTCCATAGCACAACATCTAATATTAAAAAGCGCACGGGTCAAATTTGGAGGAACAAAGCGAGCTGTGTTGGCAAATATGCACATATTATTTATTTTTCCTTTATTGCCTTGCATTTGACCAGCAGCACTCCCGTCTGCACGCGTGTTTACGCGAGTGGAAAATTAATAAAATATGGCCTTCTCAGGGGCCTTTGAAGAAGAAGAAAGGGAATTTGTGTTTAAAAACGAGCTTAATTCAAAAGGCTTTAGAGTTCTGGTTAAATAAACCTCCTTATAAGAAGCTGTTTAAAATGACATTAACCCTTGTGTTCACTCCTCTGCGTGTCCATATAAGGCTGCAGAAAGCGTAAAGATACAGTCCTGGTGTTTTTCAGTGCAAGGATCCTGAATCACAAACATACTGGGGGGGGTCGATGTGCACGTTTTGCTTCAGTGTCCCCCCTTTTCGTGCCAGCATATTCCCGTGTGGATGTGCGCATTAATTACTGCTTTAATGGGAGTATGACTAAAAATGTAAAAGAAGGATTAGGCGCAGGGAACGCACGGCCTAACGTCCGGTCTGCTCGCCTCACTTCAGATGCGAATGGAAAAATCAGTCTGTATCTAACGAAACGGATCTATAAAGAACATTTGCATCCGAGCCAGCTGTTCACTTCATCTGCACATAAATCCGCAACACGATCCGTGCTTTGTCTGACCCTGGAGGAGACTAATGCATTTATTTAAATACTCTCTGTTTTTTTTCCATCCATCTCTGGATATTCAAAATGCTGTGGTGTTTTTTTAATATGTTGAAGCGTGCTTTAATCAGAGCGCAAATCGGTCAAATAAAACGCTCAATTAGGCGTTAATTATGCTACAATTGTCTGATGACATAATAGGCTGGTCCGTGAATGAGTATCTGTCACTGAAAATGTTGTTTCTGTAAATTAACTTGCCAGGTTTAGTCATGAACGTGTGGTTCTAACTGCTGTTTATTGAGCGCGCAATTTGGATAACAGGCGGTTGAGCTGCTTGTTGTGAATTGCAGGTTTGGTTTAGGCAAATTTAATCGTTGTATGTTTTGCATGCCTGCACATCCAACGGAGCAGTGGTACAGTAGAAGTGCAGGGGGGCGGGCTAAGAGGACGATCACTGTTTTGTTTTTCTTTTTTAAAGATGTCCTCCTGATTTTTTTGTTCTTCTTTGATTGTTGTTGAAAGTTGAGAGCCTCTAAGTTCGCCCTCTGCTAGACTTCACAGGCACAGCCGCATACATACACAAACACACCCCTTTAAGAGCACGCACGCGCGCACACACACACACACACACACACACACACACACACTCCCTCTCTGAGCTCAAAAGACGGAGGAAAAAAATGCGCCACTCTTGGAGCGTCTTTCAAGGGGGGAAAAGTTGAGGAAGACAGAAGAGGACGAACCAAGGGGAGACTCGGATGAAAGCGCCTCCTTCGCTATTTCTCCCCACACTGTAAATAGATGCTTATTTATGCGCATTTAAATGAAACAAACCTAAAAAAGGTAGCGCTGCGTCTCTTTCTCTTTTTTTTTGTTTTGGATAACGTAGCCGGGGGAAGCTACATCCAAGAAACGCTCAACACATTTCCGGACAGAAGCTTGAACTTTCAGCGTTACACGGACTTTGAAGTTGCCACGAATTGTCTCCGTGAAACATCTGCTGGTGTCTGAGTGAGAGTGGACGCTGGGATTTTATCTCTTCGCTGGAGAAAGAAAAAGAAAAACGCCGACGGCTTGGAAAAAAAAAAAAAAATCAAACCCCAACCGGTGTCAACAACTGGTGAGTGCAGCAGGGGAGCTCGAAAATAATAATCAGAGTGAGATGTGAGTTAATGCAAGTGGAGGAATTTGTTCCACCTTGTGTTTTATGTTTTCTGGCTGCGTGGTGCGTTCAAAGCCGTGGCTGTAACATAAAGGAGCATGAAGTGATGTGAGGGCAGGGTTCGCCTCACAGGTCGGCAGAAGAGGAGGATGATGATGATGCAGCCTTTCATTCGCGGTGATGGAGTGAGGGGAAAAAGCTGCTAAAAAAACAGATTGTGCAGAATGATGCAAATATGTGAAATGAAGAATCAGAGGGTGTGAATTTTGCGTTATATCCAAGCAGCTTGTCAGGTTATTTTGCCCTTAAATGACGTATTGTTAGCTTTAAAGTCAACACATGTTAGAATAAACGCATAAGAGTGATAGCAAACTTCAAGGTAACAACTTAACAAATACAAAATAAAAACTGTCTACCCTCCAAATGAAATAAAAAAACAACAACCGAGTTAATAAAAAAAACGAGTGACGTGACTTATTTTGCTTTTCTTCCACCCCTGCATCCTGCATGTTGTAATTTAATATGAGAAAAAAATATCAGTTAAAAAAAAAAAAAAAAAAAAAGAGGCGACGTTCACGGTCTCGCGCCTTTAATGAATACAGGACCATATGGTGGAGGTTAGTGGATTCATCTCCCCGGTAAAGGCTGCAGTCTCATGCTCTACTGTGTTAATTTCACAAGTAAAGCCGGTGTGAGGCCACTGCCAGCTTTCTGTCTGCGCCGGGCCTCGTGCCACGTGAGTCACCGTCTCACGTCAACTGGTGAGCGCGCACGAGGCGTCCGTGCTGTGACGATGAATGGAAGAACGGGATTAATATCACTAATCATCAGAATAATTAGAAAGCTTTCATTTTTTAAACCGCTTCTATCGGGTCTGCACTTTGGCATATGCTAGAAAAAATAAAAATAATAATAAGTATGCTGTCTTATTTAATTACCACCAACATATCATTACAACATAATTACAAAATTATTATTATTATTATTATTATAAGAAATACTTAGCGTGGGTAACAGGTTATTTAATTTAAATTAAAAGGTACAAATGTTAAAAAAGGAGGAGGGTAAACATTATAATTGTTTTGCCTAAAAGTCATTTTTAATTATTTACACATTGTGTATTTTTTATGATCAGCTGGTTTATTAATATTTTTTTCTTGTACCTTTTCAGAGATGAATTGCTCTTAATCTGACAAAAATATACACAGTTAAATAAATGTATTTAAAATCCTGTGGTCATATTTTACACATAAAACTCATACAGAGTCGAGTGCATGAATAAGAGCGGGGAATGATTTCAGAGGCCTGCCGCTGAAATATTGGAGGGACCCCCCCTCATTAAATCTCACTGATTAGATAACACGGGGCCGCGTGCAATAACCTCCCACCTTACAGCATGACCCCCCCACTTTTTCATTTTGCTGTGGGGATGCGGGGGAGGGAGGAGAGAGAAAGGTTGTGCAGGTACATAGCTGGAAAACTTAACCTCCAATATATCTGCATGTTTTGAATGAAAGAAGAAGAACAGGCCTCGCGGATGATGTTCGAGCATGTTGAAGGGAGGAAGTGAAGGAAAAATGCTTAACAGCATGACTGCATGCAAATTCCCCCCGACTTGAATTATCATAAGCAAACAGTGTGAGCCTGGACTAATAAAACCCCATCTGTGTAACTTCATATCGAGGTAGTCGAAGGGCTGCGATAATGAATTTTGTAATATCCCACCGACAGACATCTCAATCAGAGTCTAATCCCGTGATTTTACCACCGAATCACTGCACTCCCAACTGCTGCAGGCTGCTGCACAGCACCACAGCCGAACCGTGCCAGACACGGCTTGTACAGATCCACACACTCACATCAACACGGACAGAATATAAGGAAACATGACGTGTCGAAATGTGATTTATTTCAAAAGGTGAAAAGCGCCTCACATATTTGCAATATTCATTTTCTATCCTTACCTTCAGAGAGCCTTTTTTTAAATGCATCATTTTTTTTAATCCTTTTTTGATTCTCTTAAAAATTAAACATGAATAAATCCATTAATTACGCTTTTTTTTAGGGATGAAAATAAATCTTTGAGGCCTCAATCAGACCAGATAATTCCCCTTTATTTAAGATATAGAAATTCCTGCTGACATCCCAACTTTATCAATGCATTTTATTTTATTTTAATTGACTTAAACTCTGCGCATGCGCTTTCAACGCGTTTTAACAACACATTTGAAAACACTTCCTTTAAGAGAACGAGTATTTCTTTTTTTCTTGAATGCAACCCTCCACTGTTCCTGTCGGTCTTGTGCTGACTCCATGATGATGGAGTGTTTATAGCCATGGTGGGGACTTCACAGCAGGTTATTGTTTACTGCTCTTAAAGGTTAATTGTGGCTCTTTTGTCTGTTTTTTTTTTTTACAGAAGCAGTTTTCCTCATATTTCCAGAATGGACTCCCACTGCCGTAAACTGGCCACCACCTGCGCACAAATAGGTGAGTACGAGAGCCGCGTGGGTTCATTTAGAAGCCCACAAATTCATTTTACAAGATGACAGAATTTATGAAAAAATACCTTACCATGATACACAAATTGTCAATTTCACAGAGCACAAATATAAATCATATTACAATAATTATTTAAATGACTGGATAAAGCACAGTCCCCTTTTCTCATTATTTCAGTCCTTTTTAAAATGAATTATCTTCTTATAGGAGGTCTGAACAATTTCAGCACAATAATTTAATACTTTAAATACAATAATGGAACAATTAAATTCAAACTTGTCGTGAGATTTATTTAAACCAGTTTAAAATCGTTAATTCAAAGGACGAAAATTGTTGCTCTCTTCAGAAAATCTCTTCACAGATTTTAAGACACTGAGGTGTGAAGATGTGATCTGCTTGTGTCTGTAGTTTAGAAGTGGATGTCTCTGGTTTTGTTCAGAAAGGTTAAGCAGTCTCAGATATCTTGGCCTCTTTTGCTCAGTGTGGAATGAAGTAGTCGGTGGATGCAGGTTTGTTTTGCTGTGTTAGAGAGACACCTGGTGGTCGCATGTGGATCTGCAGACACATCAGAGGTAGATGTGATAGATGTGATGAGCTCCGCAAGGGATGATACTCGTTCTTAATTGAAGGACAGGCATGCATGGCCACTGGAATATCTTTCATTTAAATTATATTGAGGGCAAATTACAAAATAAATATTTGTGCCATTTCGGATCTATTCGCCCCCCCCCCCATTAACATCTAGGAATAAAAACCCCAACAAGAGACGACACAGCAGCTGGAAACCTCTTCCCCGTCAGAGTCTGGGATTTATTAATTATTCTCCAATATTGTGTGGAAATGACATCAGGTCCAGTTAGGATCTTAAATGAATAACCAATAGCTCTCATTCTGTTTCGTTTAGCCGACACTGATGCGTCTCCGTGACAGAGGGCAGCGTGTGAACGACCATTGATTAGGAATAATAAGATAATAAGATATAGACACAGACTGTTGTTGCTGTAATATATGCAGCGCTTGTTGGATTGACTCCGGGGAAAACTCAAAGTATAATGAAAGCCCATCCGTGAGCAGGAATACACTAATGGAGGAATCTGATGTCTCCTTAATCCTATGTAAAAAGCCTTGTCGTCTCCCCCTATATTGACTGAATTGCTAATTAATGGCCCTCTATGGCGGAGGCCTATTGCGCGCAGTAATCCGCAGAAGAGAGATAAAGCATTCAGAAGGTAGAAATGAAGAGGAAAGCGATAATCCACTTCAAGTTTAGTATTACAATAAGGCTGCAAGGAAGAAAGGAGCAGCAGACTGTTCTCTGCAGGGCTCCACAGGACTCAACCCCACGGAAACCATTGTTTGTTTTATTGTCATGATGGATTTTAAAATAGGACCACAATGCTGACATGTGCAATTTCATGTTCCAATTAATTTGATACTAGTCACTTATTTATTGAAATATGTCTATTTGTAGGATAATTTCCCCAAAATAATACAGCCTATAGTGACTGATTGGATATGTTGGGGGAACGCTTGTGCTGTTAACCCATCAAAGATCGTGTATTCATGCTAAGAATACCATTATTCTTGCATAACAAATGAGTGACGACAGTTTTAAACATGCATCATCTTCACGGATTACGCAGACAGAGCATCCAAACAAGGTTTTATTGCTCTGTGTGAGAGATGATTGGCTGCCATAGTTTTGATAAATGAAGCCCCCCCCCTTCAGTGTGTGTGTGTGTGTGTGTGTGTGTGTGTGTGTGTGTGTGCTGCATACAGTCTATGGTTGGTCTGCTGGTATTTATATATCAGGGGCTTTCACGGGATTAGCCCAGTAACTTCTTAACATCGCCAAGTCCAAATGTGCTGGCTGAGTGGGGTGTCCGGCTGGCCACGTGGACATGGGAAGTGTGTGACAGAATGATGAAGATGTTGGTGATGAAGAAGATGATGATTGCTATGATACAATTACGCTAATACATTTGCATAGAATTCCTCAAAGTCCATTTTTTGACATCCTATCCGCACCCATTGGCGCGCACGTTTCCTCCTATCTGTCCATCACCTGTTACCCCCCTCTGACATATCTCCCACCCTCAATCTCCCACCCTGAAAATTAAACTCGCATTTGTTTGATTAGACGTGTTTACTTTCCCTCAACGCTTCAAAAAAAAAAAAAATCTTTGGGGAATTATAGGTTAAAAGAAAATGTGCTGGCATATCAGCTCAAACTCATTAAAAGTCCTTCTCCAGAAATTCTTAGGCAAATGAGAGTCTTATCAGATTAAAAAAAAAAAAAAAAAAACCACCAGAGGAGAGCTGCACGAAGGGTCCAAAAGCAGAGTGCGGAGGGAGATCCATTTAAGCACCCAGATAAAGTAATCCGTCGTCAACAAACCGAGTGTGCTCCGGTGGGGTTGATTTAATGGATATTTGAACCTTAACTCTGCAGGGATCAGGAGGATCGCCTCATTTGACAACTCGTATGACTGACGATGCCTTTTCTGCGCATGTCGGCTGCCTGCAGGGATGTATGGGATAGTAAACCACTGAAGTTTAGTCATGTGTTTTTTGGACCTAATGATGGAAATGCATTAAAAAAACATGTCCCTATATTCTGTTTAGCCGAGTGCAAAAATGCGTAAATTATATTTCTTGGTGTTTGTTTGGCAATTTTAGTAATTTCACGGCCTTTTTAATTTCTTACACTTCACCGCATTGAGTTAATATGTGACAGTCTGAAGGTCTGCATTCAAGTGAAGGCGTGCTCCTTTTAACATACTGCACATGTCTGGCAGTTAGCGTCAGTTGACAAGTGCGCACAGACACTTTTGGAGCAGGCTGGCACATCCCTCCTTTATTCAAGATACATTTATGTCTCTGCCTTGAATGTGCTTTCTTTCAGAGAGTCACTGGGATGTAGTGCGCGGCTTCTGTGTTTGCACTGTGCATATTTCTTTCATTTGAGCTTTCAATACAATCCGCTCGGTGGCTCGCTTTATCCACATTGAGTCCCTGAGTAAACTGCGGTGACAGAGCCTACGAGCTCGCTGCTCAGCCGGGGTATCAATAGAACGGCATCGTTTTACTGGGCCACTGGACCCATCTCATAAAATGAGGCCAAACTGTGTTATTTTCATTTTTATTTGGTCTTGGGCTGCTGCGCAACTCTAGCTCGGAGCGCCGCGGGTACACCGTGCGTCCCATCTCTCTTTACATGCTTTTATTTGGAAGAGGAAAAAAATAAGCGCCAGTGCCGGCATAAACACATTGGCACACATATCTCGTTTCTGCAGGCTCCGGTTGGCTGCTCCCACCGTCATATCCACATGGATGTGCCTGTCAGAGAGAATATGGGCGGGCTCAACACGGTGACGTGGAGAGAGGCGTAGGCAACAGCTGAATGAACAGAGAGCTGTGTAGTGTGTGTATGCCTCTGGATCTAATATCACCTACCTGTCCTTGTCACTCTGATAGTCAGCCGAGGTAGCCGCTGTTTACAGCCGATGCTATGGCAGCGCTCTCTGGTCTATTTTAAAGCGTTTTCCAGTTAAACCAGAAAGAGGAACCGCGGGAGGAACCGCTCAGCTGTGCGGCTTTTTTGGACAACTGAACACATTCCGCAGACGGACTTTTCGCCCAGCCTCGCTGTACTAGAAAGGACTTTTATCTGCTTTTGACAGACAGTTGTGCGATCTTTTACCCATGAACTCTATGAGGGATCCTTTAAACATAGACCATCACCACCTTACAGGGAATAAACTCGTCTCTACGCACCACACGGCTCTGGCGATGGCCTCTACGTTACAGCCGCTGCAGCGGACAGTGGACTCTAAACACCGGTTAGAGGTGCACACGGTGTCGGACACATCCAGCCCGGAGTCAGTCGGTAAGAGCCACCGGGATGCAGATGTTCCCAGTAAGCGAAACCAGCAGCTGTCCTCTTTATGTCCAACAAAAAAAAAGTCTCTGATTAATCGGCGCACGGGGAGTTTTACATACATGAAAATGGGCGATTTCAGATGTTATTTTAGGCACAGATAATTAGTTTTGACAGTGGCTCGTGTGTGGCGAGGGATTGAAAAGTTTCTGTGTTATGTAAATGAATGACAGCTTGTCTTGTGTCAACTGGAATTAGTTAGGTATTTGCTCATATCCTCAGTGTCAGATTAAATCAAAGGGTCAACTATAATCCCCGAAAATAAAAGGAAAGGCAAAATTTAAATCATGAAAAGGGTATTTGTCTTATTTAAAATGAAATCCTTTCATCAGCAGCGAGGTCTAACTGTGAGCAGCTCAGCCATTTCCCAACAGTCTCATGGATCCAGGACTTTTTTTTTTTCTCTCTTTCTAAAAAGGCATACAGGCCTTTAATCTGCCTGACCCTGACTCTATCCGTTTCTCTCCTCTTGACAGAAAAAGAAAAAACCCAGAATAAAAACGACGACTCATCGGATGACCCGTCCAAAAAGAAGCGGCAGCGGCGGCAGAGGACTCACTTCACCAGCCAGCAGCTGCAGGAGCTGGAGGCCACTTTCCAGAGGAATCGCTATCCGGACATGAGCACGAGGGAGGAGATAGCCGTGTGGACCAACCTCACAGAGGCCCGGGTCAGGGTGAGTACTCCCTAGGGTGCATTCAAAAACAATTCCTGTGTTGTATTTTTTTTTTTTTTTTGGGGGGGGGGGTCATTTGTGCAGACTGCCCGGTTAACCTACAAATACCTTATACCTTAATATTATTACGCACGGACGCAAACTTTACGCACGGCTCGTACTTCCCTTAAAATAATGTTTGACACAATTTGTAGCTGCAAAACAAATAACCAGAGCCCTGTTCAAATAAACGAGCTCGATTTCATTAGCTTGAATGTGTTTATCTATTAGACTAAAAATAATTCTAATCCTCTGCACATTAATGCAAAATAAACAGCCTCAGCAAAAAGCTATTTTGTGTCTCTCGGCACGTTATAATCTTTCCAGTAATTTTGTTTTAAACTAGGACAGAAATGAAGATTTGAATCGCTGTAATTAGACATTATTAGGTCGTTAACAGTCGAGGTTATTGACATTGGTTGGTGGCAGATACCAGTCGTGTTCTGCTGTTCGTGTGAAAGAGGTGCAAAGCTTGTATTTTGCGATTGTCGCCCTGGTGTTGTGTGATTAAGGTCAGCGCGCAGAGGAATACACATCCTCTCCACTTCAAGACGGTGCAGTGACAGCAGCAGCGCAGTGTGTATTCAGCGCAGATAAACACGGAATCAAAGCACAGGGACGGTCTGCACAGAAAACAGTCTCATGTTGACACTAGTTTAAATTATTAGGATTATTTTTTTAATTCTGCGTGTAATTTAAGTGCATCTTTCATTCAATAATTTGGCGTTTCTGATGTTAAAATACAGAATTGTGTCCAGATTCTGCGCTGCAATAATATGTATAAAATATCGTGTAATACTCAAAATCATTTGCTAACCTTTTTTTATTTTTCCTTTGTTTTAGGTTTGGTTCAAGAACCGGCGAGCCAAGTGGAGGAAACGGGAAAGAAACCAACAAGCAGAGCTGTGCAAAAACGGCTTCGGCCCGCAGTTCAATGGACTCATGCAGCCCTACGAGGACATGTACCCCAGCTACACGTACAACAACTGGGCCGCCAAGGGCCTCACATCGGCCTCTTTATCCACCAAAAGCTTCCCCTTCTTCAACTCCATGAATGTCAACCCCTTGTCCTCGCAGACCATGTTCTCACCGCCCAACTCCATATCCTCCATGACTTCCAGCATGGTGCCATCGGCGGTGACGGGCGTGCCGGGCTCCAGCCTCAACAGCCTCAATAACTTGAACAACCTCAGTAACCCGTCCCTCAACTCGGGGGTGCCCACGTCGGCGTGCCCCTACGCGCCTCCGACCCCTCCTTACGTGTACAGGGACACTTGTAACTCCAGCCTGGCCAGCCTGAGACTGAAAGCCAAGCAGCACTCGAGTTTTGGATACGCCAGTGTGCAGAATCCGGCCACTAATCTGAGCGCTTGCCAATACGCCGTGGACAGACCAGTCTAATACCTACATGCACTGCAAAAAAAAAAAAAAAAAAAAAAAAAAATCACCACTTGAACACGTCATTAGGGACTGCTGAAGGTGATGTGTGTTATTTTTCTTCCTCTGGTGGAAGTCTGCTCGGGAGATAATTGTAATTTTTTTCATGCGTTTTGGGGAAATTTCTTGATCATTTGGCATTTTTTGACACCAGTCTGAGTGTGATTTGCATTGTTCAGACTTAGATCAAAATACAGCCACTTGTTCCATAAAAATTACCAAACGTGCCAGGAAAAAAGTGAGATTATTCCACAGCATCATTGTTAATTTTAAAGTAAATAAAATAATTGGAAAAATTGGAGGTCGAGGTCGCCATGACGGTTTGTTATGGTGGTCATTTTTTTGCAGTGTGTGGGTAATGAAAAGCAGCCGGCCACAGGAACAAGAGACTACTACAACTACTTCTTCATTTTTCAAAAAAAAAAAAAAAAAAGGGCACTATAGAAGACTGAACCACTGAAGCAAGCTCAACTCCAGCTCGGAGTCCAAGTGAACGGGAGATTTTTTCGGTTTATATCCTTTTTTCTTTTTTCTTGATGAGGGCAGGCCTGCTTCACAGTCCAAAAAAATAAAAGCACGACCTGTTTTCATTTTTCAAAAAGCTCATCACGAGGGTCTTTTTACTTTCTCTGGTGGATTTTGGACGTTCATTGTTGACTGAAAAAAAAAAGGTTGTATATATATTTGACTTCTCATCTCCTGTTCTGTCGAGGCGAATGCGCTTAACCCCTCCAGTCCTCTCCAGGTTCGACTTATCAACGCATGTGGAAGAAGAAGACGAAGATGATGAAAAAAAAAACCTGAAAAAGGAATCATGTTTTGCTTGCAAACAAAAGGGAATGTAAATACTAAAACGCACCAGTTGTGTGTTTCTAACATATTATAAATTTATTATTAATGTCTGTGTGAATATCGATTTAGAATAGCAATTCTGGATTTAAAAAAAAAAAAAGAAAGAAGAAGAAGCATCAACAATGTTCCTGCGACAGATTATTTGGTTTTTGCTCTGTGTATACTATTTGGTACGGAATTCTGTTGTTTTTTTTTCCAACATCCAAAAAAACTATTGTGTTTTATTTAATGGAAGTAAATATATTGTTGAAAAACACTCTTCTGATGGGGGACTCTTATTGAATCTTTGTTTTAGCGGAGTGTAAAGCAATGACAGTGTGTCTATAGCCTTTCGATTATGTGAGGTACTTGTGCGCCTAATCTATAGAGGAAAACAATGGGCCGCTCCAATACACATAGATGCTCCGTCAGATTAACTGCTGAATACATGTCTGCTGCTCAAAGAGCCTCGGCTGGTCACTGGTGCTTGAAATAACACGGGAATCCACAAACGGGAGCTGGACCACACAACAGTGACATGAGTCCAATAGGATTGGATTTTACACCGAGTTTGATCCCAGACCTATGAGGGGGGATTATTTGGAAACAAGCCACTTGGAAATCTGAATTAAATTCAGCTCTTCGTAAACATGCATTCGTCAAATTCAAATCATAAATTGGCCAAAAATGAGCGGATAATTAAATCTAAATGACCCATAAAATCTTGTTTTTGACCATATTTTTAAAGCTACTCTTGTGCCAGAAATCTGAAGCACCTTTACGCACATGCCAGACTCTTGACGACGTTTCTGTTTTGCCTCTGCATTGTGTCTTCCTTTTGTAACCTGGCTCTGTTTCTTTTCTTCTTCTTTTTGTGTGTGCAAAAGGCATTGCTTTATATTGCGTAAATTCACCGAATCAAAACAAAGCTACGGTGTGGGGAAACTATGATTCACAAGCTTGAGCAAACAAGGCGCGCACAGACAGAAGAGATACAGAGGTATGTGGGCCGAGAGGCCGGGCTGCAGGAGGAGAGTGAGAAGGCGGGGGGACGAGTGCTGCTTCACGGCTGCAGGCAGGGAGGAGAAACCGGGGAGGAAGCACAACAACACTCTCTGCAAAAATGTAGAGCTTTAAAAGAAAAAACAGGGCGGCCTTTAAGGGGATAAGAAGTCTAATTTGCATGCACAATTTTGACCATATGATTGTTTTTGAGTTCCATTTAATTCCATTGTCACAATACTATTAGGTACAATATTCTATCAAACATGGCCGCCTGGTGAAAGAGCTGATTTAGGATCTGATGTCATACTTAAAGAGGCTTTAGGTCATCCCTCGTGGGGATTATTCTGAGGAGAAATAAATCACAGTTAGTCCAAAGTGTTGTTTTTACAAAAACTACTCCATAACAAAGACAAGAGAAACACCACTCATCTCTTTTTACACGTATGACTTACATCTGATTCTGTGAGCTGACCTCCTCAACCCTCCACAATTAGATTTCCCTCGTTAAATAAAAAGCAAAGCACGCGAGTCCTTTTGTTGCACGAGCGTCACCTTTGTTTTTTTTAAAGGAGTCAGTAACGCGGGGTAATAATCAGCTGACAGGGAGGATAAGCTTCGGCTGCTGTTTTTAGGCGAATACGCAAGTCTGCAGCCTCAATACACATCCTCACAATCAACATGTGAGCAGAGGATGACCCGAGGAGAGACGACATGGAAATGATCATTTGACTGAACCGGTGCACAGGACTACAGATCTCTGGCCTCTCCTCTTTTCTTCACTCTGTACAAGGTAAGAGCTTGTTCAACTTTCGATGGGACAGAACACATTTGACTTGGAGTTGCATGTTTCCTAATTTTTCAGTGCCCAATTTTTCTGCAGAGAAAAACTACAAAATAAGATTTTATTTTTGCACCATGGTTGCTCAAATTCTGCTCACGTTTTGGATGAAATGTATATTCAGAGATGCGACAAACCAAACCTATTTTAGAGTCTAAAACTACATGGTTCCCGGGCACAGCCACGCATAATAACATCTGACAAAGATGCATAATAAAGCATGGAGCAAAGTTCATGTTCCAACACAGATACAATTATCAATCTCGGTTCTTTTTTTTTTTTTTTAAGCCAAAATCTTATAATTCATTGCATCCATTTTCGGACACATAAAAACACACTGCTACATCTTAATGTGAGATTTGTTCCGCTAGATGATTAAAACAAAAACACAAAAAAATAAAAAATCCAATGTGCAGAAACACATCGAGCAGACACATGCAGCACCTCCACTCCGCCGGGAATTCAAACACAAAGCGAGGAAGAGCAAATATCCAAACACGAACCGTTACACCTCCGATCTACATAATTAACCGTCTCTACGCGTCGGCTTTGGACGACACTGGAGATGCTTTGGAAATAATAATCCTGCATGAAACATATCAGGTGCTGTGTTTCCTAATTATACGCAAATTAAGCCTTAAATTCAGTTATTGTATTTTATGAAAAAAGGTTTTTTTTGCACATGTTTCCTGACTTCTGTGTAAAGAAAAACAGTGACAGAAACAGTTTGGGTTTTTTAAAACTACGTTTAGACATTTTTAGCCACATGTTCAGATGCATGATTGAATTGCATGTATACAATTAAATTATGTTCAACAATAGATACGCTTCTAACATAAATACATAATTTTACAAGAGGATATGAATATCTGATCTCAGCTCTTTTGGGGCCTTTTCTTTAAAACAAATAAACAATTAGATTGAAGCATTTCATTGATCTTTTCAAGCACAGTTTTATTTTTTAAGCACATTTCAGGTTCTGTTTTGGTATGATAGGATGTTGCAGATTTCAGATGTTTGGGGGGGGGGGCTCGGATCAATAGTTTATTTTTAAAGTGGGCAGTGATGTAACAGGCTCAAATTAAATCACAGCAGGACTGAAGCCGAGCAGCTTTTTTTAAAAGATCATGAATTTGACTTGAAAGGGGAAATCCAGTCAATTTCAGAGCCACATTTCACCTGATAAAAAGAAGAGAAAACAGTCGGTATTATCTGCATCCTACGTTTGAGTTAAAAATACAGTCGACATAATGATGGGAATATAATTTTTTAAATCCTCACGCAGTATAGATGCATACACACCCTTTATATATATCCACATAAAAACACACAGACATACACACACCTTTAATTTGCTAATTCAGTGTGAAGTCCTGCTCTGTATTTTATTTAGGGCTGCTGTGGCAGAAGAGAAAACATTCTTCATTCTATATTTAAAATTAAAAAAAAGCACAGATACACAGCCTACCTACAAACACAGCACAGGTCGCAGCACTTTGCACCATGAGTGCAGAGAGAGAGAGAGAGAGAGAGACAGAGAGAGAGAGAGAGAGAGAGAGACAGACAGACAGAGAGAGAGAGAGAGAGAGAGAGAGAGAGAGAGAGAGAGACAGACAGACAGACAGAGAGAGAGAGAGAGAGAGAGAGAGAGAGAGAGAGAGAGAGAGAGACAGAGAGAGAGAGAGAGAGAGAGAGAGAGAGACAGACAGACAGAGAGAGAGAGAGAGAGAGAGAGAGAGAGAGAGAGAGAGAGACAGACAGACAGAGAGAGAGAGAGACAGAGAGAGAGAGAGAGAGAGAGAGAGAGAGACAGACAGACAGAGAGAGAGAGAGAGACAGAGAGAGAGAGAGAGAGAGAGAGAGAGCGAGCAAGGGAGGGCTGCTGTGTGTCTGGGGGAGGTGGGTGCTGGAGGGTTTGGGGGTTTGGCTCTGGACCAATGGCAGCCCAGCGGCTTCAGCTAAAGGTCACATGGTGTGACCTCACACATTCTCACCCTCACCTAAGGCCCCGGGAGAAGTTCTCCATAACAAGATACAACACTGTCCATCCAGCGGAAGTCCTTCAAAACCTGAGAGTAACTCAGAATTTACCTTCCCATGGTTGGCTTTTTTTATGCCAAAATTATGTCAAACTTTTTGTATAACTGGCTCTTTAAATCAGCAACAACACAGTTATATGTTTGCACATTGCAGAATGAAGAACGTAAACACATTTGTCTGGATGTTGGGTGAAAATATTGCCTTGCTTGTTAATCTTTGTCTGCATGTGTAAGACAGTGTAGGTAAGACGTGCAGACTTTTGTTGCATGTGCGTCCTTTGATTGTATGGTGTGTGTGTGTGTGTGTGTGTGAGTGTGTGTGTGTGTGTGTGTGTGAGACTGTGGGGGCTCGGTGCTGTTCGAGGGGCAGGCGGCTGGCCAGAGCGTGTGAAAGCAGATAACCAGGGAGAATTTCATGACGCACACACTTCCTGCTCTCTGAAGTTCTATTAAAGAAAGATGAAAACTAAACACACATCTCAGATGTTTTCTCTCCAAATCAATTTCTACACATTAAGCATGCTGAAAAAGATCAGTAGCACAGCTCTCATGGACCTTGAAATAGTGGAGGAGGGGAAGAGGAGGAGGAAAGGGGGGGGGGGGGGAATGATCCACCAGGAATCAAACCGTGCATTCATTAAAGTATTCTTTTGAATACAGTTCACCTGCTTGCTTGTTTTTTCACGACTGAAATCTTGATGTCACTCAGCGTAGGGCATGAGCTGGACGACCTAAGAGCAAAAATGGTTGAGGTGTTTTAAAGTTTATTTTCCCTCCTCTCCTTGGCTTCTAATTGTACAAAATAATTCACCAAAAACAGAAAGAAGAGAAGACACCAAACACCTAAATCAGTCCAAGATATTCAGTTTGAAATCTCTGATGTGTCTTAAAGCTCAGAGAGGAGAAAAGAAAAAAAAAACATTCAAGAGTCATCACTTAGCATCAATGCTAACTATG